CTTTACTTCTCGCCACACCATTCTGTTTGTGCCGCATCGCAATGTGGCTTTCCACCCTTGTCCATGTTCTTCCTCCCATGCAACCCCTCTCGCAGCAACACAAGGCGGCGGAACAGAGGAAACTACGACGAGGTCGAGTCTGGCCGATTCCGGATCCACTTCCCAATCGTCGATCTGTCAACGGTATATGACCCTCGAGACGACGTTGATCCGGCGGGTATGAGAACCGAGATCGAAAATGAGCTTTGGCTGGATTGTAGCGTATTGCTGCCCAGATCCAACAAAATCTAGGGGTGCTCTGTCGTCGTACTCGTACCAATAATCAGACACCTAGCCACCCTCCTTCAACAAGGTCGTTGTTGTTCCTTCTTCAATCTCAACCTCTATCGTCGGTCCCTCTTCCTCCCTTCTTTCAACTAGTTATTCGATTTTAACAATTTTTCATACAAGGATGACAAAAGACCTGTTAGGATATGACTTGAATTTCATTTTGGTTTGTTTTGTGTTTTGGACCTTTTTTTTGTGTTTTTGCTTTGTTTTGGTCTTTTCCTTGTATGTTTGGAAAATGTGTTTGGTTTTTTGTTTGGGATTAGGAGAAGAGTTCTATAAATACTCTTCATCACCCTAGTCTATCATAAGGTCAGTCAGGTTAGTTTGTTTGATTTCCCCATTCCGGAATTTCGTTTGTAACCTGTACTCTCCTCAAATTAGTGAAATTTGTTCTCCCCTGCCCGTGGATTAGCTAACACACATTGTGTTAGTGAACCACGTTAAATCTGTGTTTATTTCTGATGATCTGGATTATCGATTGCACGCTTTTGTTCTTACAAGACCAATGCTATCAGAACCGAACTGGTATATTAACTGATATAGTAAATGGTTCGAACTTTACTGTTTTAACTAGTATTAAGCCGTTATAAACCCGTTAATAAATCAGTGTCTAATAAATAAAATTATTATAAGTAGTAGAAACCATTAATAGTACTATAATTATATATTGATTCTAATATATTCCTAACAAAAAATTATATATGGCAAGTAAAGATTGTTATCTTACATAAATATAAATGATTTAAGCATAGAAGTTGTGATTTTTCACCAAGCCTTGTTGGCGAAGGTTGCTTGGCGAATCGGACAAGAGCCGGGGTCTCTCTTGGCTCGGGTCATGAAGGGAAAGTATTTTGACAAATTGGATATTCTTCAAGCACGTCGAGGATCGAGGCCTTCGTGGGGGTGGACTAGCATTTTACATGGGAGGGATTTATTGAAGCAAGGGTTGATTTGGCAGATAGGTGATGGGGCTTCAGTGCAGGTGTTAGGGGACAATTGGGTTCCGGGGTGTAGGCCGGAGGAGCTTGTTTGTCGATCCTCTGCACCTAGTTTGGAGGCGGCGACGGTGCAGTCTTTAATGATCCCGGGCATGGGGCGTTGGTGTTTAGAGTGCCTGCAACAGTGTTTCCCGGAGGAAGTTGTTACTAGAATCTGCTCCATCCCATTGCCGGTACAGCCGGTGAGGGATAAGCTTGTATGGTCGCGGGAGAATGATGGGGAGTATAGTGTTAGGTCGGGGTATCATCTAGCTGTCTCTCTTAGTCGCAAGCTGCCGGGTTGGAAGGAGGAGGTGTCCTTTTTTGACAGTACTTTTTGGAAGAAGGTGTGGGAGTTCCCCATTCCGCCAAAATTAAAGTTCTTTGTCTGGCAAATGATGCGGCGGGTTCTGCCCACCATGGAGGCGATCATTGAGAAGGAAGGAAAGGTGCCAGCGTTGGTAGTGGAGGCTGCTGGGGATGAAGATTTGCCTTCGGTGCAATGTCCGGTGTGTTGGGCGCCGATTGAGACCTTGGAGCACATGTTTCTTTCGTGTACAGTGGCTAGGGCGCTTTGGGATAGCTCGAGCATTGGCGGAGGGGTAAGTTTTCCTGAAACTGGTAACTTAGCTTTGTTCTTTCGTCGATTGGTTGAGCAGAACTCTAGTACTGAGAGGATTGTACGGATAGTGGCGCTGTTATGGAGAATCTGGAAGAGTCGAAATTGGGTAGTTTTTGATCATGTGCAGTATGCCATTCCGCGGCTGGTGCGACAGTATGAAAGTCAGGTGAGGGAATGGCTGGCGGTTGTGCAACCCGCCCAGCGACAGCAAGAGTCAGGTCGTTTGGGTGGGGAGGTGACTGGTGGTGGCTGGTCTAGGCAGGGGCCGGATGGTTTACGATTTTCCTGTTTTGTGGATGGTGCGGTGGCACCGGGGTCTCATGGTGCGGGGGGTTTGGTGGTCCGAGATGCGATGGGTAGAGTTTGCTTTGTTAAAGGTTTCTCCTATGCAGGTCTGGTGGATCCCTTCTTAGTTGAGTTGATAGCCTTCCGTGATGCGATTCAGTGGTGCTCTATGAAGGGTATTACTGAAGTGAAGTTTTATGGGGATGCAAAGGTAGTCATTGACAAGATTCAGAGGTCGGATACGAGGGATTTGCGCGGGGGAAGGATTTTGGAAGAGATTGGTGGGATACGGCGGAGGTTTGTGAGTTTTGACATTGCTTTTGTTGGCAGGAGTAACAATCGGGTGGCTCATGAGGTGGCCAGGAAGACCCTTTCTTTGTTGCCTGCTAGTGTGGAGAGTTTTGATTTTGATCGTTGGTACTTTTTTGTGATGTAAACAGTGTTCTCTTTTGATTTTGGTTTTGGTAATAAAAGCTAGCTATCTATTGGTAAAAAAAAAAAAAGTGATTTTTCAAAATTAAATACTGGGATGGAACGTGGGACGGAGAAGCTACGGCTGATTCTCAAATGTTTCTTTTATGTTAGTTTATGTATATTTATTTTTATAATCGTGATATTATTCTTGTGTTAATTTGTTTTGGAGGATGCCATAACAAATCCACATTTACACGGTTCTGACTATTGACAAAGTATCTTAGTAGAATTATACTGTGTTTGAAGAGATTATTTTCATAGAGTTAATTTTAGCACTTAGTAGAGATGAATTTTATATGAGCATGGTTAAAAAGGCACGTTTAAACTTAGACACGTTTAGGGGCAAAAATAATGGCAAACCAACTCGACTAGGGTTTTCGCACCTAGTTAGGTATTCAGGAACATTTTAACAGAGTTAGGTGACCTAGGAATAATTAGATGGAGCTTGGGACTCAATATCAGAGGAAATTAAAATCCACTATGAAATCATTTTTCTATATCAATAATTTCAATAGCTCAAATACTTTGTGAGCTATTGAGCTATTACTCTATGAATTTGTGAGTTATTTTTCTTATCATTTAGTGTTTGGTGAGTTATTAATCATTTTAACTGAAATGAGAAAGTGTTGTAAATTACTATTTCATTTATCATGTAGTGTAAATAACTATTTTTCTTCCAACATCTAGGCACATTTAGGCTACGCCTAGGCGCTAAACAAGGCCTCAACGCATGCGTTACTTCTGCTGCCTTCTTGAACCTCGCCAATGAGTATATTGTTATTTGGTACGATTCATTTGGGTTGATTGTGTTGCTCTACTAGACTTCATTTCTGTGATATTACGTTCTTTGAATTTTAAATTCTATCAATCTAAACTTATCTGTAAATATCGAAATCTATTATGCATATTATATCATTCCACATCATGTGATAGAAACCCAATTCCTGGGTTATATCATAATTATTATTAATAGTATTTATTAGGATCTATTTAGATATGGTAACTAGTCTTTGAGTCATATTAATTAGGATAGTCTATTAGGAATTTCCATTTTTTAGCTACAAATATGACTTTGGGTTTTACGTTATAGTCAAGCAAGAACAATTATTCAGAAAGTATCTCCCAAAACCCAAATCCTCTATCCTCTAATTTCTCGATCCCAATAATTCCAAAGCTTCGGCCGATTCAATCTTTCTATTCGTCCCCTTCCCCAATACCTCAATCTCAATCCCCAATTCTATCCACAAATCCCTAAATTCCCAATCAACCAACACTATCAATAGAGCCCTAGAAATAGGTTTCTATCATCTGGAATCAGAGCCCGGTTACGAGGAACGAGTTCTTCATAACTCTAAATCGGGGACAATTGCATCTCAACCCAGAGCCATAATGAGCTCGTCAAAGCTCTATGACCAGGAATGGTTCCGATTGCAGGAGATGCTGCATCAAGGCCTTGATCGACGATACAGGGAAGTTTCTAGGAGTGCGGTGCTAACGGAGGACGTTGCATTCGACAGACGAGTGCGGACATTGGCGGAGCAGTTCGAACGAGCCCTCAACTAGCCTCGGGAAGCCAATCCAACACCAGCGATAACTTCTGCAACGCCATCATCAATTCATTGTCGAACCAACGACACTGCTGCCATCAAATTGTCTTCACCACCGCCCATGGTACCATCACCACCAACTGCCAAAGCAAAATCAAATCCAGCCGCAGATTCGACGGTAGCTGTTATCACCACCATGAGGAAAGGTAAAGCCAGATGGATTGGTGGATTGGAGGTACCGGAAGAAGAAACAGAGAGAGGACGAGGAGTTCGGAAGGAAAACGCGAAGTAGAGAAGCACCCTCACTATCTGCTTCTCCGGGGATGGAGTTGAGTGCGGCGAAGGAAGCGGGCTCGCATCCTAACTGCCAACAGGTGGTCTGCTTGCCGCTGGGAAAGAAGTTGGCGAAGGAGTTGCCAACGTATAAGAAGAGGAAGGAATCTTGTATGCCATCAGAGCAAGGTCGTCGGATTTCATCGCAGGCGGCAGGAATTGTGAGGAAGACGTCGCAATCTGCGGCCAATCCAGTTGTTGTCAAGTGGAACGTCGGATCAAGTTTTATGCCCAGTTACCTGGTTGGTCGCGTGCCGTCAAAAAAAGAAGCAGAGGCGAAGGGGAGAGTAGAACCAAGGAAGGTGGAGGGTCGCCGGAATAAATCCTCGCAGTTCGAGTCGCGATAACGAAGGGCGGGGAGGCGGAGCACGACGTCAATCAACGATCTCTACGTCGGAGCCGCGGATCACGCACGAGGTGCGGCCGTCTTCAATGGCTCTACTTGTGGCGACAACGATGTTGGGAAGCACATCTGCGGAGGAGAATTCGGATGAGAGACGATCGTCGAGGAAGCTCTGGACAGTGACAAGCTGCCGGTTGAACTACCCGATGACGAAGAGGATGAAGTCAGCGCCACAGGAAAAGAAGAAGATAATGGAGGCTCCTTTAGCGACGGCGAGGAATGGGAGAGAGGATCCAGAGACGCGTGGTTGTGCCGCCATTGGCTTTTGCTCATCGGGTCTGCCGCTCGTTGCCGGAGAAGGAGCAGCCGACGATTGAGAAGAAAGAGGGGGGGTGGGCGACGGGGATGTCCGTTCCGCAAAACCTTGGTCGCCTAGGGTTGAACGAGCAGCTCAGCAAGTGGAAACTCGGTTGGGCCGAGTGTCTTAGGTCGAGTGGGCCACGAGGCCAATAGAAGTGGGCCATAGAGGCCTTGGGCGTGGCATGACGAGGGAGAAGGAGTTTGCAGGGTTTGATGTGGCGCAACAAAAGAAAGTCGAATTGGTGGCCAAGTCAGGGTCATACTATGGGCCGAGAGTTGAGGAGAAGCGGGCTGAGAAAGAGCTTGTTCGTGGGCCAAGTCTTATGGAAATTGGGTTCACGGTGGCTGTTCTTTGAAGAAAATGGACTTGGACGAAGAAAATGGTGGGTTTAATGAGTTGGAAAGTGGGCTTTTGAGAGAACATAGCCCAAAAGCAATTTGAGAGACATCAAGGCAAGTTTATGGGTTTTCTACAATAAAACTTTTTGAAGGCCTTGATGAGTTGGTTCTTAAAGACAACTTCTTCTACCAAGAAGTATCTTTGGATTCGCTAGTTCGTTGGGGTGTAAGGTCAAGAAAAGAGAATCTATTGAATTTTGAATCTGGCAAAGAAGCGGATAGTGGGCCCATGGAAGTGAAGTTCGAAAAGCGGGACCAACATAAGAAGGCCAACGCAAGAAGCCCAAGTCGAGTGGTGGAGCATGATTGGATGAAAAGGAAGCGCAAGAAGTGGAGGAGACAAGTCGCAATCTACACGGGAGATATGATGAAGAAATGGGTCGTGTCGGTCAACCTTGAGAGCAAGGTTGGTCTCAAGGGGGAGGGGATAATCTGATTGCTATGGGATTTCTCGTGACTAGTCTTGTTATTAACTACGATGTTTTTTTTATTAATCGTGAAATTACAGTGATTTTAATGACAATGAGCACAACTAACCAATCATTATAGGCTAATACTACTAATTGCACAAAGTTTCTCATAAGGATTTGTAATACTAAGCAAATTGAACTCATTAAATAACAATAACCGTATTTAGATATGAAAATTGGGCGGAATTTGGCGTAAAATTTGTACGTCCAACCTTGGTTGGATCCTCCTCCTCTAACCAGCCACAGGCGTAGTACTATTGGTGGACTCTCCTTCTATTTTTTTTTATTTAATCTTCTTTATCCTTTTTATCTTTCAACTAACCAAAACAGGTAAAAGGGAATTTACGGGTCTAGATTTCATGAAATGGAATTCTTATTAATTTTGACATACTCCTATATTTTATGGAGCAATCAAAATTTAGTTGTGTTCTCTTTTCGTTTACACTCCATACATTTTTATAATAATTTTTTTTGATTTGTGAAAGTTGATTCGCTACACATTGTAAAATGATCTCTATTTAATATATACAACAAATTTTATTATTGAAGCATAAGATATTCCGGTATATGTATGATATAGTGAGATATCTATATAGATCATGAATTTAATTAAAATTGGAGTATAATATTATACATAATTCTAAGGTATAAATCCAAAACTCTGATTCATGCAAAAAACAATTAATTAAAAATAATAATCACGGATTCTGTTTTTTCAAAGCATAACGAAATAGATGTTTAAATCACTTGAATATGACATTCTCCAAAATTACTTAACTCATTGTCATATATATAAACATGACGTACGCCATCAAGTTTGATATTTGTTCATGAATAAATTGGAATTTGGAACATGATATTCTACACTAATCTCTAATAAGTGCATATCAGTCTCTAATTTTTTAACCATAATCATAAGGTTCATTCCTTTTAAAAATAATAATCAATGATTCTGATTTGTCAAAATATAATGAGATCCATCTAATAAGTGTGAACTCGTATATATTATATGCAAGAAATACACTAACGTTTTAAACTTTTGTTACATATATGGTTTCTTCTATATTTATTCCGTCATCTGCTTAAAAGTTTTTTTTTTTTTGACAAAAGATAATCATATATTGATATTCAAACAAGTTTATTTTTTTAACCTGTCATCTGCTTAAAAGTTAAAACTAGGGTTAACTAGAAAAAAGAATTTTGTTCGCCAAATTCCGTTTGATTTCCAATTTTCTTGTTTTGGTTTGTTGAATAGAGGAAATAAAACGATAATGTTAAGAAAAAGGATACAGAAGCCAACAATAATAACATGCCATGTGGCCGGTTGGAGGGGAATGGATCAAGTCAGTAACCTTATAGTTAGTAACCATGAGTAACCCATCCACAACAGCATGACATCAGCATCCTCTATCTCCTGGAAAGCCTTTAATTTTCCCTTCTTCAATCTTTGACGGACGATTTCTCACTCATTTTAAGTCGAAATTTAATTTTTTTTGCACAGTTAGATCAGATTAATTGTGCTCTTCAAAATGATATCCACTTTAATATATTTTTCGAACAAAAAAAATTGAGCCATTTTTTACTAGTCTATACCATATGGTATTGACTGGTATTGAAATAAAAACATACCTATGGTTTGAAAAACGTACCATGGTTGGGTTGAACAAATCAAGACTGTAGGATGGTTGAATACATGATAGTAGAAGTATATTAATTGTCATTTACGACTTTTAACATTGTATACCACACAATACCACCCCGTACCAATGTGGTATTGTATGGTATTGTGTGGTATTTTTTGGTCCTGTAATTTGTTCACCAAGAAATTTGTAGATCCAATAGATCATGATGAACTCGTCCCTTCTGTGCAAACGTTTTAAAAAACGAATTAAAAACGAAGAAGATACCATACAATACCACCCCGTACCAGGGTGGTATTGTATGGTATTGTGTGGTATTTTTTGGTCCTGTAATTTGTTCACCCAGAAATTTGTAGATCCAATAGATCATGATGAACTCGTCCTTTCTGTGCAAACTTTTTCAAAAACGAATTAAAAACGAAGAAGATACCATATGGTATGCAGTTGGTACCGAGAGGCCAGAATTTTTTTTTTCTCAAAAAATATTGAAAATTGATCTCATTTTGTAGAGCACGATGAACTCGTTCCATCTGTGCAAAAAAAAAATTAAAATCCGAGTTAAAACAAAAAAGATATGAGTTAATTAAGAAAGCTAGAAAAAATAAAAATGGTCTTTAATTCTCCTTCCTTAGGTCTGAATTTTCTAAATAAAGAGTCCAGATTTGGTTATTGATGGGTGCATAACCCATGGTTATGCACCCTATCTTGAACCGGTTGGAGGAGGAAGCTTCACCAAGTGTTGGACGTAAAAATTTTCCGAATTTGGCTGCTGTACGGGTTGCAGCCGTTTGCTGCTCTCCATCCACGTGGCTACATATTGTTGGCCCAAATTATGTTAATTAATTATTTAAATGCAAATTGGATTTGGACGATGCTGTGATGGGACGTGGGACGAAGGCTATGAATGCTTCTCAAACGTTTCTTTTATGTTAATTTATGTATATATTTTTTTTATAACATGTATTTTTATTTATATAGTTGTGATATCAATTTTTATTAATTAATAAAAGGGGAAGGAAATAGTGAAACAGGTGCATCATGGGTACAAATGGGAATGAGCAGCTCGGTGTGGGTATCACGATACTCATACCTGTCCCTTAGTAGGTCAAGTATAGATCGGGTAATTTATCATAGGACACGGGTCAGGGCAGGTGACTTAATGAGTATGTAATTTATATGAAAAACATTAGAAATATTCGTTATTTTCACTAAAAAACAAGAAACAAATCATAATATGATAAAATGTAGTTAAAATTATTGGAGAAATTGAGGTTTTCGCATATTTACAACTTTATTAAAGTTAAAATATCATGTAATAAAAGGAAGATACTAAGTAATTTGACTAAGAATACATGCATTTTAGGCAAAAACGAGTCGAGAATAAGACGGTTCAAGGCAGGTCGGGTGAATGAGAGATAGCCATGCTAGCCCCGCCCCTCCTACGCGGCGGCCCGAATAGATTTGGTCCCGGTCCGGTCTTTTCTAGAATATAAGGACCAAAGATAAGATTTGATCCTGTCCGGTCCTAATTCGTTATTGATTTTAGATTGAGCTTGTGGGAATTTGAGTGGCCTGAGGGGAGATTTGAGTGGTCTGAGGCCTGAAAGGATGAGGAGGTTAAATTTTGGGTGTTGGGCTCACTTATCCGGTCTTTATCCGGTTTTCGATCCGGTCCTGAACGATTTTTTACCTTAAATCTAGGCCCAAAGATGAGATTGTATTGTTTGCCATCTAGTCTCGGTCCGGGTTATACGGTCCGATTTCGGGTAAAACCAAAAAGCCCGAACCACCCCAACTTCAACCCTTGTGCAATAAAATTAATCAAGCCAAGCCTTACCACTTTTTCGTCGGCGACTAACTCTCCAATGCTTTCTATGATCTCTATACATCCAACAACTAGAACAAAACACTCACGTAGAGGCGACAGTACCAGATCATTCGGCAACCCTACTCACACATGCAGAACCATGACCACTAGATCCCTCTTCCAATCATCTGTCGCCACTCCTATTTTCCCCTTCGCGGGTTTCTCCTCTCCCACAATGATGAGCTAGGGATTCGCATCAGAATATTGACAATGATTTACGAATTAGATCTGTCTGTATCTCTGGGAGTTTTTGTCCGATTACTTTATGTCATCAGATCGGCAGGAGAAAAGCTTGGTCAAGCAAAGAAGGGGATAAACAAGTCAGGCGATTTTCTCCCATCGATGTAACTATGGAAGGTGGTTGTTGCTGGTTAGATGATTGACCGAACACGAGAACACCAACACAACATGATTTTGATTTTGTTTTATTTTGTGTGTTAATTTTATTTTTTCCTTAAATACACTCATCTGTAGGTATTATAAGGTTAAAAATAAAATATACGTATATATACAGTTATGACAAAATATAATCGTTTAATATGACGAACAATTCTCCCAAAATTACCACATTATTACAACCGTAAAACAAAATATGTCACTATAATTAACATCTCTGTTTGTCACAATATCTACCCAGAACCTCAGCTATTAGGACGGGAAAACAGTCTAGGTTTTCCAGTCAAACCAGAAAACGTATTTCCATCAACCCAATCTAATTTGCGGTTGTGGTGTCCACTAAAAAAACCAATCTGGTCCAATCCGGTTAAAACCAGGAAAATCGGATAGCCCAATCTAATTTGCGGTTGTGGAAAATCTGGTTAAAACAGACTCGACGACATTAGTTAAGGTTTCCATCTCTCATTGATCGCCTCCTTGCTCGCTCACCAGTCGCGCGATAACGATTCACGACTCGAGAAACCGCAACAGCCGGAGTCGCACATCATAGATTGGATCTCTCTTCAACTTTCACTTCTAGTCCAGACTCCATGCATGGACTCTCTTGTGTCTTGTCACTGAATCGAGAAGACGAATTAAGTCGGACGGAATAGAAAACTATCTGCTCTGTTCATACCTGTCTCATTTCAAATTAAGGTCGAGGATCAAAGATTCGCGGCGAGGCGATGGTGGTACAAGGAATAGCGGGAGAGAGGAAGGTGCATTAGGTGTTGGGTGGATCGGCGGCTAAAGGATGATGGATGAAGAACGAAGAAGAGTGGGGAGAGTACATCTATAAGGGATTCTCCCTGGTTGTTCTTATGGCGAAGAGGAGGAGAAAAAAAGAAACAGAGAGGCGGCGATTGGTTTAGGGTCAGAAAGAGGTGGTTGATGGTTTTTTTCTTCTTCTTTTTGCCGATTTGGTAGAGGAAAACGGCAGCGTTTGAGAGGAAAAAGTCAGATCCAGATTTGGGGTTGAAACCTGACCGGTTCAATCCGGTCTTGGTCAAAACCGGATACCATCCAATCCCGTCTCCGATTGTGTTATTGGTTACAACGGTTTTAAAAAATTGGGTTAATTCGGTCCAATTTAAACGGATCAGACCGTTTTCAGCCCTATCAGCTTTACTAAAAGCAAATGTGACAACTTTGTTTTAAATTTTTGTCATATTTGACCTAACCTGACGGCGATAAAATGACAACACCTTTTGTCATAGAATACCGAATGTGACAAAATGGGCATCTAATATGACAAAATTGCCTCGTCATAATAGGCCAAATTTGTTGTAGTACTCACATTAATCCCGATAGAAACTAATATGCAGACGGTTTGCAGTGTGTTGGCAGTAGTAGCAATGAAGAAATGGTCAATTGTTCAGTTTGATGTGAAGAATATCTTCACGACGACTTAAAGGAAACAATATACACGGAATCTCCAGAAGGCTACACAGAAGGAGCACCAGGGATGGTTTATAGACTACGACGTTCGCTGTATGGTTTGAACAAAGTACCACAGTCATGGTTTGATTAGTTCCACGGTACTATTCTACAATTAGGCTTTGTGCAGAGTCAAAATGATTCGTCTATGTTCACTCGACAACAATCCATAGTAACACCGCACTTCTCTTATATGTTGATGACATGATTGTAACATGGAGTGACACTACGGGCATAGAGGAGTTGACAAAGTCAATGGTAAATGCATTCAATCAGAAGGAGTTAGGCATATCACATGATGGTGCTATTCCTCTGACCATCGTGTGGTCAAGGTGGTTTGTGTTATCTTATGCATTTGGAGGATAAGGAATTGGGTGGCATATGAGTGTAAACAGGTGATGTTTCATGTGTTAGTATGCAGTTGAGGGCTTAGATGGGGGAGTGGTTGAGCATATCGGGGATGAGTTCAAGGGGTGGGAGCCGCAGTGTAGATGATCGGAGGGAGTTATAGGTTCATACGGGGAATCCTAGTTTGTGTATCGAACATATGAGTTATGATGAGGCACTACAAGGGTCTTTGTAACCAGAGTTACGCAACAACGAATTGAACTTAACTCAATTCTCAAACTCAAACAAACAGGGGATGAATTTGATGGTTATGGATGGTCGATCTCATGCAATTCCACACAACGGGGAAAGGCTCGAAATAGATAGAACGATGCTCGACCACGATCAAGGTGTTGATTGATCGATACATGCTTTCACGGTGCTCAAAATCCACCAAGCAACTCAACAATCCACGAAGCGAAAGCTTAATGAACAACAAACTCGCGTTTTATTCAACTAATCGATTCTACCTGTTACAATGCAATGGAACGTCCTTAAATAGACCTAGGCTAGCTAACAACTTGATACGAAAGTCCTAAAGAGGATCAAACTAAGAATTCAAAGGCAAATAGGAAAAGGGAAAAGAATCCTAATCCGCAAAGGACTCGGATAGCTGGGTTTGCAAGTCAGTTTAGCAAATCTTCACATGGTCTTGCAAAGCTTCGTTCGAAGACTTCAAGGTAGAGTTTTAATCAACCAATCCCACGTCTCTGCAGCAAGTGATACTTGTTTTCATGTGGTGTAACCCCAAGCACTCGAATCACAACCATATTCCTCGAATAAGCCTTCCAAGTGAGCTTCCCGAACTGCCTTCCATACTTGGCCAATTTCTGGCAGAATTCCTGTTTTTACATGGAGTTTTGAGAGGCTTCAAGTGACCTTCCTGAAACTGTAACAACACAGAGATAAATTTCAGGGTTCTTGTTAATGAATGAAATTGCTTATTGATCCAGCAACTCTAACTTGTAGACTGATCCAAGTTGGATCATATCAAGTTAACCCTTTGGCGATGCAATTTGCAGCGGATTTCATTTGGTGGGTGATACGATAATTTGGGATGTGTCGGGTGAAGTGGTGACGCGAAAGGGGATTGTGTACGAAGGGCTATTGGATCTATTGATTGTCGAGCTCGTGGTGTGTCACGATATGGTACGTTGGTGCACTCACGTTGGACATCAAAGTATTATGTATAACGTAGCTGATTTAGTGGTTAGGACGGTCCTCTCTTTGTATCTTGTAATGATTTTGATTTTGGTGTTTGTAAAATAAAATAAAAATGTTTTGATATCATATCTCCATCAACTCATATTATTTATTCGGTAAGACAGAGCCAAAGGCTATATTATTTCACAGAAACCCGGGGATTATAACAGTAAGTACAGGTATGTCTATCCTTTCCCGTTTTCACTAGTCCCTGAACCTCAGCAGCTAGCATGCATAATATAAAAATGACTATATGATCTTTCCCTGCGTAGTTACCCTTTATACCATCGCATCCTCCGCAATCAACATCTCGTACTAACTAACAAGTACAGGGCGATGGAGCACTAGAACTCGGAGGAGGGCTGTGGTGCTGAGGCGGAGTGTGGTGCCTAGGCGGAGGAGTGTGGCGTCGAGGCGGAGGAGTGTGCCCCCCGCCGCCTGGAGGAGTGCCTCCGCCTCCGCCGCCATGGCAGCGTCCGTAACCACTCTGACATCCGGCCCCACAATATTCAACCCTACTTCCACAATATCCATATTTACTGCAACAAAGATTGTCGCGGCACGTGCCCCCGCCGCCCTCTTTGCCGCAGCTACCTTCGTCGTCGTGATCAAGGACAGCTGATGACTCATCCAACACCGAATACTCAGCCGCGTCGCACGAACAAGGCGCTGGAGACGGCGGTTCGCTACCGTCGTCACCGTGGCCACAGGAGCCATAACGAGGTTGACATTTGTACCCGCAGTGATCATCCGTGCTGCCGCAGTATCCCCACTGGCTGCAGCAGAGACCCTTTTTGCAGCTTCGCCCTCCGGCCTCTTCCCCGCAGTTGGGATGGTCGGTGGAGGAGGAAGTGTTTCGGTGGTTAGCGACGAGCCTCCGATAGCGGCCGGTGGATGGTGGGGCCGGCGGTGTGTAGTCCATCTTTTCGTCACGAAAGATGGTGCCCTGTGGGGAGGGTGAGTGGTTGCTATTGCTACGAGCATTTGCTTTCGGTGTGCATACCGTGCCAAATATTGCGGTCGTCGCTACAAGGACGAGAGATAGATTAGTGGCGAGTTTCTTATCCATGTTTTATTTGTTTTCCTTGTTGGTTTGTCATAACGATAATGCGGTGGATTTATATAGATTAGTCCGGTATGGTTTCCAAAGTTGTAACGCATAGTTGCAACGGAACGCGAGCGACAGACGTCACTGGTCTTCCCTTCCCCACTGACCGTCAACTTCAAGAAGGCTTTCGTACCACCAATCCCTAAATACATACTGTCCAGGAAAAGAGACAAGAAAATGTCTATTTACTTTCAATAACCTGCAACAAAGTTAGAACCCCAAAGCAGATAGGAAGGACGAAAACGTTTGCTACCGCAGAAACAGACAACTTTGAGACCCCAACAAGTCCCTTTGTTTGTGGATTGAAATAATCGAGCGATGCGGACGTATATGCACGCCATAATAAGGGCTAATCCAGCTTAAGATAAGGTCAGTATCCATTAGTTACTCATTCATGAATAACTTATAAATATTTATCTTTGAATTTAAGTTGATCCAAAAATTACAGATCTAACGATTGTAAATTAAAAGCATTTTATATCTTATTTGTTCTAACTCGAATTTTTATCGATTTTTATCTTATTTGTTCTAACTCGGATTTCAATTTTTTGCGTAAGAAATAATCATCATTACTGACTAATACAAAAATGTCATCATAAAAAATAATTATTATTGATGACAAAATATCGAGTGTCAACAAAAATTATTAGCTTTGACGAAATAAACAGTTCGTCAGCACTAATTTATCAGAATTTTTTTTTACACCATTAAAAGTTCGTCTATACTAATTGGTTAGAAAAAAAATTTGTTTTTACGCCAAAAACAGTTCATCACTACTGTTTGGTAAAAAAAAAATTACGCCATAAACATTTCGTCAGTACTATTTGGTTAAGAAAAAAATTTTACGCCATAAAAATTTCATCAATACTGTAAGGTCAGGATTTTTGACGGTATAAACATATTGTCAGCATAAATGGTCAGAAAAATTGTTTCTGATACAATTAAAAGTTCGTTAGTACTATTATGATTGGAAAAAATTATTTTTTATGCCATACATAATTCTTAGTACTATTTGATTACAAAATTGAAACCTTTCTTACAAAATTAATTACCGTATACGTTTTTTTTTTCTTGAGAAGAAATTATTGGGAGGCAATCATGAAAATCGGACAAGCATGACATTTTCTAGAAATGATTATTGAATCGATCAAAAAACAAATCTGCTTTAAATAATTATAATAAACACTGTTCTATAAAAAATAGAAATTAGTAACATATATCTTGATCTACAAGAAAAAATTAGTCCTACTTAATCTTTGAACCCTACTCTAGTCCAGTTTATGAGATCATCTCCCGCAGTTTGGAGTACCCCAAGCTCATCAATTCAAATATTGTCTTCTTGATAGGCTTCTTCTAATTCTCCTTCTCCTTCCGTATTAGAAGGCATCGCGAACAAATTTCTTGGTCGCATTTCAACCACAATTTCCAAATTTGGATCTCTCAATGATTGCACATAATAAACTTGAATTGTTTGACTAGCTAGAAGAAATGGCTCATCTGTTCTATGCCTTCGCGTTGTGTTGATAGTTATAGTGTCATGTCCATCCTTCTTGTAACCAACGCCTTCGCGAGCGGTGTCATACCACTCACACTGAAACAGTACAACTTGAAGCCCTTCAGTATAACGAAGCTCGATGATATCAGCAAGAACGCCATAGTAATGAATTCCAGCATTGTTCAACCCTCTCACCATCACACCACTGTTCTCACTGCTTTTGGTTAACTCGCGAGTACAAGTGTGAAATCTGAATTCATTTGTACAATATCCTGTGTAGTGTAGGACTCGTTTGTCTGGCTCTCGAGCTAAGGATAAAAAGAATGATTCAAACTTGGCACTTTATCATTGTGTATTCGTGTAATCTGCAATAACTGCAAGGATAAAATTAAAATTAGCATGCAATAATTTTTAAATATCAATTTTTTTTATTATATATGACATGTACGTACCTCTAATAAGAACCACTTAGCAAATTCTTGCTTATACACTGCTTCAACCATACAAACACCTCAATAATTTAGTTGTTTCTTGTGAGTTATCTAATTGCACAATATATGTTATTAATTAAAATAAATTATATTCTAGCATACAATAAATAAATAAAAGTTGGTATGTTTATGTTTTGTCACCATTAAACGTTCGTCTGTACTAATTGTAGGGGTGGGAAAACGGTTGCGGTTTTGTAGTTAAACTGCAACCGTACCGAATAAGAGGGTCTGTGGTTAACCGCAAACTGTTTAAAAGGGTATTTATTTGGTAACAGTTAGTGGAATTGGCTATTTTGCGGTTTGTGGACTAACCGCACACAGCACCGAACCCACCAAATAACTAACCGCATAAGAGTATGCCCAGCCTAGGCCCAACCCATCCAACAAACAAAATGCAAAGTCTCTCCACTCTCCAGCCCAAAGCCCCAAACGACCAAACTTCCAAGTTCAAAAATGGCAAAATCTGCTGCCTAGGATTCCATTCCTTTCGACAATTCCAAATCGGTCGCCTAGGGTTCCATTCCTTCCTTCGTTGGCGAAGAGGAAGAGCAGCGGCCAGCGAGCACTGAGTGGTAAGCACCGATCAAGCAAGCACCGAGCAGCAAGTCCAGCTCCACAGGCGGCGTTCACGAGAAGATGACCCCTTCCGTTGACAGTCAAGAAGTAGAGCAAAGCACGAGCGATAGAGGAGGAGGCATCGCGGCGTCACCGTTCCTCGAGCAGCAGCGCAAAGTGCAAACCATGCGGTATGCGGTTTGAAGTGTAGTTAACCGTTAACCATAGTTTACATTGCAGTAATGGTGTGTGGTTTTCCCCTTGTGCGGTGGCGGTTAACCACGCTTATTCGGTGCAGTTAACCGCAACCGCAATGTTTCCCACCCCTAACTAATTCGTCAGAAAAAACATTTTTTACGCCAAAAGCAGTTCGTCAGTACTGTTTCGTGAGGAAAAAAAACATTTTTGATGCCATAATCATTTGGTCAGTACTATTTGGTGAGGAAAACACATTTTTTACGCCATAAAAATTTCGTCATTACTGTTTGGCAGGAAAAAATCATTTTTGATGACATAAACATTTCGTCAGCATTAAATGGTCAGAAAATTTGTTTATGACACAATTAAAAGTTCGTAAGTACTATTATGGTCAGAACAAATCATTTTTTTACGCATTACACAATTCTTCAGTACTGTTTGGTTACAAAATTAACTATTGTACACATTGTTTTTCTTCAGAAGAAATTATTGGGAGGCAGTTATGAACATCGGACAAGCATGACATTTTCTAGAAATGATTGTTGAATCGATAAAAAATATATCTTCTTTAAGTAATTATAATAATTATTGTTCTATAAAAAATAGAAATTAGGTAATATATATCCTGATACACAAAGACCAAATTAGTCTTAATCTTCAAACCCTGCTATAGTCCAGTTTATGAGATCATCTCCCGCAATTTAGAGTACCCAAGGGTCATGAATTAAAGTTGTCTTCTTGATAGGCTTCTTCTCCTTCTCCTTCCTCATTAGAAGGCCTCGCGAACAAATTTCTATTTTCTTGGTCACGTTTCAACCAGATCCCAATTTGGATCTCTCAAAGACTGCACATAATAAACTTGAATTGCTTGACTAGCCATAGCAAATGGTTCATCTGTTCTAAGCCTTCGCGTTGTGTTTTTTTTTTGTCTTTCGAAAAGTCAGTGTTGAAAAGATAGATACAAGGAAGAAGAAAGAAGAGCGCGGGAGTCGACCAATAGTCGAACTCCCGATGAGAGGGCCTTTTGTGCCACATGATGGACAGCCCTATTTAGTCGACGAGAAACAAAGCAGAAAGAAATCCAGTTGAAGTGAGAAGCTAAGCTCCTAGCATCCTCCAGTAGAGCTCCACCCTGATCATGCGCCAAGTCGCCTCTCACCATCCCGCCGTATCAATTGTCGTGAATCCCCATGAAATTTGACAGAGACAAAGGAAAGTGTCAGGCACCACTGTATGGCCTCTAGTATAACAAATGGATCTTGTAATCCCTCATAACACATCCTGAAAGCAAAGAGAAAATTACATGACGATTGGAAACCCACAAAGCCAATACTACCTTCGTGACTATGCTTGACCACACCATCAAACTAAACATTAATAGTATTCAAGGGGTTCCTTCAACATCAGGGGCATCATTTCCAAGTGCTCCATCAAATCTCATCAAAAGGCCACCTAGTGGACAAGACAGCCGCCACCGATCGACAAATGTGCAATTGAATCTTCACCTGCAAAATGAACAAACAAAGACCCCTACTAGGACAATCCAGGCCAAAGAGCCAACAAGCCAACATAGACACAAGGTAGCATTTCGCCCTTGAAATAGAGGACCAGGTCATCAGGAAACCCTAGATAACCGGCACCAACCGGTACAAACCTAAACCTTTTTTTATTTTATACTTTTATTTTTCTTCTATTTTCTTTCTTTCTTTTTTTTAAATAAAAGGTTAGAACCTAAATTTCGGGGACCTAACAGTTCGCAAGCATAAAAATTTAAAAAGAAGGCAATAGACACATATGAGAAAAATGAAAAAAGTTGGAAAGAATAATTAAAAACAAAAAAAGTATGAAGGATAAGTATTAAGGGAAAGATTAATAATAATAATAATAATAATAATAATAATAATAATAATAATAAACAAATGATAAGGGAGTACTTATCTGAACCGTCGGCCAAGAAGCGTAACAGCCACCCCGTTCTTGATTGTAACCGGCAAGACCGCATTCACCCTGTTCGGCAGTGGGAGTGAACCACGAACCGTCGCCGTGCCCAGGTTGTGGTTGCTTTCATCCTCACATGAGATCCGCCCTGGCGGAGGAACCGAACTGCACCCCCCTCAATAGTGGAAGAAGAGCCGATGTTTTCGTTCGCATCATCCACTTACTCGGCAAGTTAGTCGGCGAGAGTATCCAATTTCGAAACGTCGATCCTGGTAGATACCTCGCCCGGCGCCGACACCGGCGCTGGTTTGCTGCCATCTGCCGGAACCCTCGCCGCCGCCGCACTCATTCGCTGTCCTGTCCTGACTCCTTAGCTCAGTCTTGTCACCCTTCAATCTCCATCTTCGTCGAACTCGCACCCGACCGCTGCTTTGATCTCGCCTAGTAAGCCCTCGCATTGTGTTGCTGGTAATAGTGTCGTGTCCATCCTTCTTATAACCAATGCCTTCGCGAGCGGTGTCATACCATTCACACTAAAACAGTACAAATCGAAGCCCTTCAGTATAACAAAACTCGATGATATCGGTAAGAACACTATAGTAATGAATTCCACCATCGTTCTCCCCTCTCACCATCACACCACTGTTCTGACTACTTTTGGTTAACTCGCGAGTATGAGTGTCAAATCTGAATCCATTGATACAATATCCTGTGTAGTGCAGGACTCGTTTGTCTGGCTCTCGAGCTAAGGATAAAAAAGAACGATTCAAACTTGGCACTTTATCATTTTGCATTCGTGTAATCTGCAATAATTGCAAGGATAAAATTAAAATTAACTTGCAATAATTTTTTAATATAAAAAATCATAATTATATATGACATGTTCGTAACTCTATTAAGAACCACTTAACAAATTCTTGCTTATGCATGCTTCAACCATACGAACACCTTGATTACTTAGTTGTTCCTTGTGACTTGGGAGTTTTGTAATTGTACAATATATGTTATTGATTAAAATAAATTATATTTTAGCATACAATAAATAAATAAAAATTGGTATGTATATGTACCTTATAAAACTTGCACCTCAACACAGTTTTGTAGAACATAATAAGTTTTTGCCTTCCACATATCAGTATTGAAGTCTCTATTGTCGTCCTTCACACCAATAACATGATCGACACCCGCAACAACTGATAATTCATGAGCTGGTTGCGATGACGATGCATATTTATCTACATTTCTCTTTTGACTGGAATGCATATTTATCCATTCCAGTCAAATATTGTGAGAAAAATGAGACACATTCGTCAACAATATAAGCTTCGGCGATTGATCCCTCTGGACATGCCTTGTTATGAATGGAACCTTTTAACTTCTTCAGATACCTAAATTGTTTTAAAAAATGTCGAATTAACTTCCTAATGTTTCTAAAATGTTAGTATATATAATCAATTTAGTGTAATTATATATCACACCTTTCAATAGGATACATCCATCGATACTTAACTGGACCAGCAACTTTGGTCTCCCAAGGCAGATGGATGGGCAAGTGGATCATTATATAGATTAAGGCAGGAGGAAAAATATGTTCCAACTTACATATGGCAGGAGGAAAATATGCCAATTTGAGACTCCAAGTTATTCAAATCTTCCACTTTTAGCTCCTTGGAACATATGTCCTTGAAAAATCTGCTAAGCTCAATCAATGTATCCGATATGACCTTCGGAAATAAGCCACGGGCGACCAACGGTAATACACTCTCCAAGAATACATGAAAATCATGAGTTTTCATCCCATATATCTTTCGATCATCAACATTGACACAACGTGCCAAACTTGCGGAGTAAGCATCTGGTACCTTTACTTTTGCTAGCCATTGACGCAAAGATTTCTTCTCTGCCGCTGTCAAGCTATATGCATCTCTAGGTAACTCTTTTTTCCCATTTCTCTCAACAGGATGAAGATATTTTATTATATCCATCTCCTCCAAATCACGACGAGCACTTAAACCATCCATTGTTTAGCCCTCAATATCCATAATGGTACCAAGAATACTATCACATACATTTTTCTCTATATGCATGACATCCAAATTGTGGCGCACTAAGAGCGATGACCAATATGGCAATTCAAAGAAAGTACACGCCTTTTCCAGTTATGAGTTTTGCCAAACCCATTGATTTTTTGCCTTTTCCCTTATTAGCGAAAGGTATTGTTTCTAATGAGCGAAGTCGATTTTTTACCTCTTGAGATGATAATCACTATGGTGCACGTCTTTTCTCTACTGTGTCGTTAAATTCCTTCTTCTGCTTGCCCCATTTATGATTTGATGGCAAAAATTGGCGATGATCCATGTAACATTCCTTGTATCCATTATTCAATCTCAAATGTGAGTTGTTGCCTGCGCAGGAAGGGCATGCAAATTTGCCTTTTGTACTCCAACCAGAAATGAGACCATATACCAAAAAATCGTTGATAGTCCACAACACTGCAGCTTTCATGTTTAAATTCACTTGCGTGAATGGATCATAAGTCATTATTCCATCACACCGCAAAGACTTCAGATCATTGATAGACCATTAATTGGACATGTTTTTACCCCTATTCTTGAGCCGTTTGAGATGTTGATTCTTGTGTTTTAGGCTGATTTCACGCTAGGTTGTTCTTGTTTGTGATATTTCAGGTCCTAGTACGTGAATGAAGGTTTGGGAACGAGTTCGGGGTCGATTGGACGAAGTTTGGACGTTTGGCGAGAAGCTGAGAAGGCACACGGGCATGCCTAAAAGCCACACGGCCATGTAGGGAACCCCTTGTGGCCGTGTGGAGAGGGAGAGGTAGAGCTGGGTTTTGGTTCCCAAACACCTAAGGGATGAACCCTAGAAGCTAGTCGCCTGCCGGGTATTCTGTCTAAGAGGACTTGGTCAGCTTAAGAGATTCCAAGCTAATTTAGGATCTTTCGCCGTTTAATCAACAGTAGATCAACCAAAGGTTATTGCAAATTGGACCTAATTGAGGAGCTAGGGGGAATCATACCTAAGTGAGTTCCCAACTTGTAATTAGTATAGTAGTTAGTAGAGTAGTTTAGTAAATCAATCCTTAATCTAGTTTTCTAGATAATGAACTGAAGTTGAGTAATAACTCTAGAAACCCGTGGATTCGATATTTATTACTTGTGCCACTATACTGCATTCCCTTTCATTGGTTACACTTGGCCATTGTTAGGTGTTGTGTCGTAGCGTGTCAGGTTTTTGGTGCCGTTGCCGGGGACTTTCTAGATTATTAGGAAAGGCAGAAGTTTGTTACTTTAGCGTTTTTCTTTTCTTTTCCACCCTTGCTTTTCACTTGGGTGTTTTTTGTTTTTGTTGGTGCAGATCTGAATCATGGATCCTCATGGCTTCTCCAACCATTGGGTGTATCCACCACCATCCGAGTGGTATTACCCCGAGACTCCCTGGACAATCAAGGAGGAGAAGACTACGGATTCGGGTTCCAGTACCAACCCCCTTACTATGGAGAACAATCAGACCCCTAGGCATATCAAGAACAACCTCATTACCAAGAAGACTTTCTCCCACAACCAGAAGGGCCATCGGAGCTGGAGTTACCCATGGCGGCCTTCACGGGCCACTCTGCAGAGCCATGCTACACTTCACTAGAAGATCCGAACAAACAATTAAGGCTTCTCGTGGAGCATTTTGCTCGAGACACTGAGAGATCATGCTCCAAGATGGATCTTCAAATCCAAGCCCTTGCGCCTTCCAATCCCTCATTTCACCATGAAATGGAGGAGACTGTTCAGTGCTCAGCGAAGCAAACAGAGTGGGTGGAGCAAGTTTGCTCACATCTTGCTCAAGATCACCTTTCTACTACCACGCTAGAAGAGGTGGGGGATGACAAAGGCTACGGGGGCGTTGAGGAGCATACAGAAGTTGTCACGGAAAGCTCCCATGATAATCATAATCAAGTGTATCCTCTGGTGGTAGATCACAACTGTCCCCATTTCCGCTCTGATATGCTGGGCTCGAGCGAGGAGATGCAAGATGATCTCATTGAAGAAATGACATGACGACTTGCTCTCCAATCTGTGTTAGAAGAAGAAGAGCGAGAAAGGGTGAGGGAAGAAGTTGTGGAGGACGAGGAAGAGAGCAAAGAAGAGGAAGTTCTTGATCTTTTTCAAGGGGAGAAACCACATTCTGATGAAGGAAGAAGGCTTAAGGAAGCAAGTTGTGTCCAGGCTGAGGATGAAGTTGAGGTGGAAGAGGCATGCACCGGTCATGAGTTACATGTGATATCTCCACCAAACTTCGAGGAGCTTCTTGGCAAGGACCCATTTGCAGTGTCTCTTTGCCAGACCAAGATAACATCAACATCGATCCCTCTTGGTGGATGTGATGGTGGTCAATCGAATATATCTTATCTGGTTTGGGGAAATGAGACAAGAGCAGACGCGAAGGAGAGGTCTCGAGAGTGGGGACTTCATCTTCCTCAAGGCCACGAGCCATCTTCATCACCTATCACATCACATGCTCGTGACTTGAGACTCCACATCATCAACGAGAACCTCAAGTTCAAGGAGGTTCTGGGGTGGACCGAAACTTAGGAGCCACCGTCCAGCTAAAGATGTAAAAGAAGCGCTTGTGGGGAGGCAACCCCACCAAGGTTTGTTTTTCTTTTGTTTGTTTTCGGTTTGTCCACTTGGAACTATGGTTTCTATCACCCAGTGTGTTTTGATGACTCTAGCCCTGCTGACTGGTCCCATTTCCAGCCCCCCCGACAGTCCATATTCCCGGTAACATCGTTTCCCCTTATCTTTCCCTCTGCTCCATTGAGGGCAATGTCGTGCTTAAGTGTGGGGGAATTAGGTGTTTATCTATCTTTGACTGCTAGATGAGTTTGTGTGCTTGGAGCCTAGTCCACTGTCCAATTTGATGAATTGAGGGCTCCAAGTACTGTTCCCTGCAAAATCCTGCTCAGTATGCTTTGAATTGATAGTCTTTATGGTGATATGCAACCTAGGGAGGTAGTTGTAGCACTATGGAGGATGTTGAAGTATAAGATTTTTCCTATCTGTCTCTCTGCTGTGCCGGTTGATTTTGTGAACTAGTGGATTTAGGACCGTTGATTAAATTGGTATTGATGACTCCTCTTATGTTGTGTTGTGGGCTCGTGTATCAAAAAAGGGTGCTCAAGTGTGAAATGAAAAAAGCAGTTGGTCCTCCATGTCAAAAATTTGAAATTCTAAGACATGGGGTAAGACCAACGTGTGTGGCACCGTTCATTGCACAAAATTGGGTTTTGGAAGAGATTTTAGTGATCCTTGGTGGGGTAGGCCTACAAGGTGAATCTAATTTGTCTCTAGTACAAGTAAAATTTTCACCCGTTGAACGGTTGGCCTACTTGAAGATGTGTTTTTAAGGGCACGGATAGAGCTTCCGACCCCC